GTGTGTGTGAGGGGTCAGAGTGTGAGCAGAGCCCGTGTTGGGAGAGGACTCAGTGGTGACCGAAGTAAAAGGCCAGGGTCAGGGTGAGAGCAAAAGTGGAGGCTGGGAGGCGGAGGGAGCTAGCCCAGCACACGTGGCCCCAGGGGAAGCTCCTACCCTCCAAGGCAGCAACTCTCAGCTCCACACCAAAGACCCCACAATATCCCAGTGTGTCAGCATCAGCCCGAAACTTCCCACCCACTGCTGGCTGGCTGTTTACACACGAATGTTTTCGTGTCACCTCAAACTCAATTCGCTTCCTTTCCTCTGAACCAAGCAGGTCTCCCAGCTTGTATCCAGATGCGAACCTATCCGCTCTGATCACCAGAAAGCAGGTGCACCAAGTCCCGACCAGGGGCGAACAGCTGCCCACAGGGACCCATGAGATTGGCGGGGCTGCGCGAGTCCAACGCCTGTGCAGTTTCAGAACCAAGTTCATCGGACCAGCACTGCTCAGAACCTCCCAAACCTCCCAAATTCTTAAGTGTCAGTATTTGACAAATCCTGGAAATCATGTCAGTGAAAAAAAGAATTACTACAATAACATTAAAATAAATGACAGCATCACTTGAGAACACATAATTTATTACATTTAAGACTTCATAATAAAACGGATACTCGGGAACCTTAAAAAAGAATTAGAAGTAACAATTAGATGTAAAACTCTCAAATCTTGGAAATATTAAAATTCTAGCATTTTCTTAAAATCTCTTCCTCATGATTAGCATAGTTTATAAACCATTTTTCTCTTCCACAGGAAAGGCACACTGACGAATGCAGAGTTCTTCTCAGCCGCTTTATTCTCCACTGGAGCTCAGTGCAGGGCTATGTTTTCTTTACTCACAGGAAGCTGTCCCTTTCTGTTTCTGTTAACCCTCAAAAACAATGGAATACGCTTATACAAAATGGCTCAAGCCTTAACCACTCTCTGCAGGTTTTACCATTTCAGCACACCGCTAGTCCAACAGCTTCCCCAACTCTAAAGTGTGTGAGTGAACTACGGATATTTTTAAATATTTTCCAGATTCATCATGGAGGCTGCTTTTCTTCTCTGCACTGTAACCACACTGAGCTGCAATGGAAATAAACAATCAGTGAGCAGTCGCTTTCCCTGTGGAAAATCTTAGACGAATACACAGTATAACGCACACAACTTACAATCGCTGAAAATAAGCTTAGTGGACAGGGTCTCAGAAGAAGTCACCTTTTGCGTTCATTTCTAGTTTACTCTTGAGACACTTAGGTGTCTGCCTCACACTAGAGATACGCATGTCAAATATGACATTCCACAGCTCAGCGACATCCTGAGAATTCCAAGAAAGACTTTGCCGATGGAGGAAGAGCATCTAGAGAAACGTTAATCAGAAAAGTGGCTAACACACAAACTAAGTGTAAGCCAGCACATCGCAGGGCTGGTAATAAAAAGATGATAGAGCATAGTAAAAAAAGTCTAATAGGAAAAATAATCTTTAAATATTAATTGGTATTGATTAATATGGAATATACACATAGTAAAAAAACCTAACAGTACAAAAAAGTAAAACGAACAGCATGTAGCATAAAGGAAGCCTTCCCATCACTGTCCCATTTCCATAGCCCTCTTTCCAGATACAATCACTGCTTCCAGTCCCTCAGCACAGTTCCTGAAGTATTCTAAGTGAGGATATATGCATGTTTCCTCACCCCTTTTTAATTAGGAAATGATCAAGTACTATACAGACTTTTCATCTTGTATTTTTCCTGCTAAATGATCTACCTTAGAAATGATTCCACATTAGATCTACTTTATTCCTCTCAACAGCTGCAAACTCTCCCCTGCATGGATATTCTGTAATTCAGCTGGTTTCCTGTTGATGGGTGTTTAGGTAATTTTTAATCTTTTAAAATGACAGGCAACGCTGCTGCAATTAGTATTTTTCATGTTTCCATGTACAGATTTGCCCAGGGGCAAGGACACCACCTGCAGAATAAATTCTTAGAACTGCTGGGTCATAGGTTATGTGTTTACAACCTCTGAGAGACGCTGCCTAGCGGGGCTCCAAAGAGACTGCACCAGTAGACATTTAGAGCGATAGCCATTTACACAATGATGTGTGAGACTGCAGGCACAGGTACCTTCAAACCCCATGGCCTGACAGGTGAAAAATGACGGGTGAGTGTAGTTTAAATTTGCATTTGTCTTATGGCTGAGGATGAGCATCTTTAAAAAATGTGTAAAAGTCTTTCCTTTTTTGTCAATATCCTTTATTCATCTGTCTAATGTACTGTAGCATTTTTGTTTTGATGTAGCCACTCTTTATATGTGTTTATGACATTAGCCTCTTTGTCATACGTGATGCAAATACTTTGCTCAGTTTGTCATTGAATTCATGACTTTTTTTAACGCAGAAATCTGAAATTTTACAGTCACATTTATTGATTTCTTTCCTACTTTGCAGGTTTTGTGTTCTTGCAGAGAAGGGCTCCACCACCCTGATTTCTAAGACATGGCACACGGTCATGGATAGTGGTGACTTAGAGCATGTCACCATACTAAAAGGGCCTGGTAGGAGGTGGAGACAGGAAATTGGAGAAGCACACTCAGAGTCCGACTGAGTCAGGGCCATGTGTGGCTTGTGCTGAACCTCCGGCACGATGCTGGGCTGCACTGGTAAGTACAACAAGCTACAGACAGCGGTGATCTCTTAACGCCATCACTGCATTAAGTATCAGGCCCTTAGTTGGGCATTATTTCTATTAGCAGTTTCCAGTTTTTAGGGGAAAATGAAAAAATGAATTACAAAGAATTAAGAGAAGGCAAAGATAAAGGTTTTAAAAACTGAATATATGTCTCATAAAGAACGTTTATAACTTGTACTCATTTAAAGTGGAAGAAATATTAACTGCAGGGGATAATTCCTCATTGTGTGTATGCGGAGAAGGTTGAGTGGTTACTCCCCATGTTCAAAAGAGAACAAAGAGGGAGGAGAAAGGCTTAGGAAAAATTTGTGAAGTGGTTGCTGAAAAAATACTAAAAAAAAGCTCACAAAGAGAACGGTGGAAACTTTGTCATCAGAGTTTAACAGGAGACTGTTTAGGTTTAGCGCTCTCGGGAGGGAGACTACACCAGGTGCCAACTGCATTCTGTAGCTAAGGCTCCGTAACTGTACACTTTTTACTATGGGGTCCAGGTAGGCGGTTTTAAGTAGGCACTGCTTTATCACATTCCTTAAAAAACGTAAACTCGGAGCTTTAAGGGTTGTGACGTAAGAAATTTAATTTCTTAGGTATCTATCTACTTACCATTTAATGACTAAGTGCTTCATGTGTGAATTCCCTTCCTTTTTCAGTAACTGTAAGGGAGGTGTTATTACCTATGTTGAATATGAAGAGACCGAGGCCTAGAGATGTGGAAGTTGCCCAAAGTCACATGACTAATTAGGGGCAGCGGGCTATTTGTTGACACCAAACACACGCTCAGGACACTGCCCAGCACACCCTGGGCTCCTAATACCTTACAATCCACATGAATGGAGGAATTCTTAATTAAGTAATCCATTAGTTCATTACTCCACAAGAAATTAAATGTATTTGATAAAGTTATAATTACTTTCAAGAGGGAGGGGACAGAAGGGCAAATTATGACTGGACTTTAAGTGTTATCTCAGGTTCATACCAGAAGTAGATTAAAAAAAAATCTGTAAATATCATAAATATAAACTGAATTCAGTATTCAGAGTTGCTTTACTTTGTATAAAATGCTGTAATATCTAAGAGTAATGTTAATTTTAATGAAAATAGTACATTTATAGCCAAATATTATTAATAATGTACTAACTTGTTTTGTTTTTGTCTGCCTGCCTGCCTATCTATACCTATCTATCATCTATCTATCTATCTATCTATCTATCTATCTATCTATCTATCTATCTATCTATCTATCTCTATCTATCTATCTATCTATCTATCTATCTATCTATCTATCTATCTATCTATCTATCTATCTATCTATCTATCATCTATCATCCATCTATCTATCTAAACTGTTTCCAGCCTATCTTTATATTCACTAAACTGGTCTCATTTTGTTCCCCAAAGGAGGGACTGTTGCTCCTACTTTAGAACAAATGGCCCATTTCATTATGATGTGTGTGAATTATGGGTAATTACCTCAGTATCAATATTCTGTTGATGTTCTGGACAACTTTATACCACTTTTTAGACTTATACAGTCATATACAAATGTGCATTAAATGAAGCTGACCTATACACAAATTAATTTTTTCCATTTACAAACTACAATAAAAACAAAGTTAGTGCAATTGAAATAGTATGTTCAAAGCAATGTTACCTACTTTCAACTCTGTCAGGAAACACCTGCCCAGTTCTACACGTTACGTAACCCTGGAGCAGGGCTTCCCTTGGGACTCTCTGTGGTGACAGCATTTCACATCCATGCTGTCTGATAGGACGTATGGCCATTGAGCACCTGGAATCTGCTAGTGTTACTGAAGAGTTCGATTTTTAGTTTTATTTAATTTTAATTAATTTTTAATTTAATTTTAATTCATTTAAGCAGCTGCTGTTGGCCAGCAGCTGAGAGTGGACGGTGCATTTCTAGATGTAGGAGACTGATGTTTATTTCTGTTTTTAAAGTTTACTTTTTCAACCTCAAATAATAGACTAATTTTAAATAGTTTAAGTAAAAATAAACGTACTAGCTCTCTGGAAACCTCTGAGGGCCTTTCTTAGCTGTGACCCACGCAGATATTACCTTCCAGGGATGACGGAGGAGGCTCCCTACCTGCTGAGAAGCCGCCGCCGCTCTCTGCTCTGCCTGACTGAGCCGCTTCTGAAGCCTGTTGGCTTTTTCTTGATGCTCAAGAATTAGCTTTTCACTCTATTAAGGGGGAACATAAAGCAAATAAGTTAGAAATCCACACAGGGCATGGAGGAACTCTGTGGCATAATCAAAGGAAAACTGGGACATGCAAAGATAATGTGTCCCCAAACTTCCATTTTGTCAAGTTATGAACTTCAAAGCTGGTTGCACATCCTCACTAAACTGTTAAAAACATGCCAACAAAAATGTGGATTAAGTGCAAAGCAAAGAGAATCAGAATTTAAGAACAGGGTTTTCAATCTCTGACCTGTTCACCTCGAGATGCTGGCTCACTGCATCGAATGTGGGGAGTGTCAAAACACAGACTGCCGGGCCTCCTGCCCGGACCTTCTCCCAAACTGACAATCCTGCGTCTACCATGTTCCCGGGGGAGTTGGTGCTGCCTGCTGGGGCCCTCAAAGCCACTGTGTAGAACCAGCTTCTAGGGAAACTGGGACATCATCATTATCAAAGTTTAAGAAACAGAAGGAATCCTGGTTTTAACAGAGTCAGACATGCCTTTAATGATTTACATGCTAAAAGTGTCCTTTAAAAGGTGAAGAATCTGTTTCTACATGTTCTCCAAACAGCTGTACGCCCCACAGGGTATCAGGGTCAACACAGTTATTAAGACATTGCTATGGGTTGAATTATGCCCCCCCCCCAAAATAAATTGAAGTCCTAACTCTAGGACCTATGAATGTGACCTTATTTGGAAACATGGTTTTTGCTAATGATTAAGTTAGAATGGTATTATTAGGTTCAGCCCTAATCAAATATGACTGGTGTCTTCATAAAAAGGGGGAATTTGGACATAGACAGGTACAAAGGAAAGATCATAGGAAGACGCAGGTAGAACACCATCTACAAGCCCAGAAACCCCTGATTCTACCAGAAGCTGGGAGGTGGGCATGGAGCGAACCTTGGTCCTCCACTGAGCCCTTAGGAGGAGCCAACCTCCGACTTCCTGCTTCAGGACCCCCAACCTCCAGACCTGAGACACTGCATTTCTGCTGTTTAAGCCACCCGCTGGCAAAACTGTTCCAGCAGCCTCGGGAAACCAGACAGCATCACGAACATAAGCCTGTCACAACATGCTGTCACGCACACAAGTTCAAGGAAGCTGTCAATTAAAAAAAGCATTAGCCCTCCCCACACTTCCCCTCCTGAACAAAGAGTTTTTGTACAACTGGAATTGTTCTTCAGTTCTGGCACTGGCAGGAATTGAGAGTAACCAGCCTCATCAGGAATAGCAAGAAAAGCACACTTTCTATGAAGAATGATAGAGTTCTCTTGTCCTAACACACAAGTGATTACAGGGACTGTCACACCTAGTCACATGAAGTATTAAAATAACAGTATCCTGCTAAAATGAGCTTAGTATATTTCTTAGTGTGCCCAAAAGCAAAATTAAATTTTATGACGAGAACTATATTCTCTGTTCCAATTTACAAAGTTGTTTAAATACGCAGTCTTAAATTTAAGAGGCTTTAAATTCACATCTTAACACCAGAGAGAACTCAGGGAAAATGCCATCATCTATAATAATCATTTTCATAGTCACTATCAGACTGCACACAATGTGCATTTTCTGCGCTGCTACAGTAATGGTTAAGGCACAGTCCAGAATACAGAAGCTGTAATATGCAGGCCATTGTTCTTTTTCAGTTGCTCACTGTGGTTGCTCCTGGTCTTCCAATATTATTAACATTACTGTGTTGAGTATCTCCCTTTAAGTTTTTTGCATTTTAAATAATTTCCTTAGAGCAGATTCCTGGAAGTGGGTGCTACACCAAAGAGTACTTTAATGGCTAGTGTTTAATTGTTTTCTAAATGGTTCATATCAATTTATAACGGTACAAAGCTTAAGAGTAATGCTTAAAAAAAAAAAAGTAATGATTTCACTGTGGCAGCTATAGAAGGCCACAAAGAGAACGTGGCCGATACGGCCCCAAACAGAAATTCCAACAAATGCATTCGAAGCTGGAACATCAAAAGAACTAGTGTTCCAGAATGCCCTAATCATAACCTAGAAAGTGCTTTCTGTTTAAAAAAAACTTTGAGGAAACCCCCCAAATTCTTGCTATATTTAGCTCTGAAGTAATCTAAAGGAGTATTTTAATATATTCCAGGAGGCCGAAGTATTTTCTAACTGTCTCTTGTGATAGATGAAAACTAAATAAAAGAAACAGGTTAAAAAATAATCTCAGACACGCACAGACATAAGAGGATCCTAACAGAGTCTCTGAGAAGCTGCACCAGCTCTGCCTTCTGTCATTTACATATGATGAATCCCTGACTCTCAAAGCTTTTATTCACAGTATATTACGTGTGGACGTTTTGGGTTATGGATGATTTCTACAAGAAATACGCACATCTGTATGGTCACTTCCAAGTAGAGAATTAATTTGGACTTGGCTCAAGTAAAATTCTCTAACGTGTATATCAAGCTGCAGCAGAAGGACCTCCCGGGGGAGTCATTATCTTACCTCAACTACCTTTTCATTTGCTATTTCCAGCTGAGAAAGCAGCTCTTGGGTATGAAGTTTCTGTCGACTCAGCTCACTCCTATTAATGAAGGGAAGGAGGGAAGGAGGTAGGGAGGGAGAGAAGGAGAGAGAGAGAAATAGAGAGAGAAACATAGATGTTAGAGAGATATATGGACTGGCCGCCTCCCGCATATGCACCCCAACCTGGGGAGGGAAGCAAACCTGCAACCCAAGCAAGTTCTCTTGACCAGGAATTGAACCCTCAACCCTTTCAGTTTGTAGACCAATGTTTTAACTACTGAGCAACACTAGCCAGACAGGTGTGATTTTATTTTTAAATCTGATTTATTAGCTATTACTTCTGGGTCATAGTAGATCATTGTTCAGCCAACATTTTAACCAAACACTAAGGTTGTACTTAGCAAGACCCTAATTCCAGTGAGGCTTTTGCCCTTTGCTATGGATCTGCCTGTACTTGGGGAATGCTTACATTTTTGTTCCCTTGCCTGCTCCGATTGTTCCTCAGCTGGTTTAGCTTGTGCATAGACTTTCTTTGTCCCAGGGTGAAATGTCAGTCTAGCAGTTCTTACATATCTTTTTCCCTGACTTTCTAGTAAACTTGTGATTGCTTTGCCATCTCAAATGTTTGCTGTTGGTAGAGCGATTTATATACCTTTTTAGATGCTCTCTACCAAGATCACCATTGTTNATGTTTCTGTGTGCAAAATAAAATTTTTTATTAATAGACCATAGCCAAAGGACACATTTCTTTCTTTATAAAATGCACATCTATTCTGGAGATTGGTTGTACAACAATGTGAATACACTTAACACTATTGAATTGTACACTTAAAAATAAACTGATAAATTTCATATTATGTATATTTATCACAATTTTAAAATGGTTAAAACAGTACATTTTATGTTATACTTTGCCTCAGGACCCATATATATATATATATATATATATATATATATATATATTAGAAGTACCAAAGTGTCTTTAATATTATCTTAAGTATTATTTGACATTAAATGAAAGCATATTCATATTAAACAGATACAATATTTGTTAGTATAAAATCTCATAAGCTACTGTGGTTCTTGGCTACAATACTCATTTTTAGATTCATATACAGTGCTCCTTAGAGGAGCTCCACTCTGGGAAAATCGCGGTAACGTTAATCACTCCACCATCATTTCAGTATGGCACATTCGGGGCTGGTGTTTGTTTTGGTTATATGTGTGCTATATTTTATACATTCATATCTTTTATGCTTTATTAGCTAGAATTGTCTTATGCACAGACTTTTTTTCGCTCTGTTCGACAGATATACATTATATTGTTTTGGCCAAAGATAATTTCTAGAGCCCCAGGTCAGAAGTAGATACAATGTAGTCTTAAAAATAACTTAAAGCTCGGCCAGGCGTGGCTCAGCAGTTGAGCATTGACCTAGGATCCAGGCAATCGCGGTTCGATTCCCAGTCAGGGCACATACCCAGGTTGCGGGCTCGATCCCCAGTGGGGGGGGGGGCGTGCAGGAGGCAGCCGATCAGTGACTCTCTCATCATTGATGCTATCTCTCTCTCTCTCCCTCTCCCTTCCTGTCTCTGAAATCAATAAAGATATATTAAAAAAACAAAACAACTTAAAAAGATCTGCTCAATGTCTGAGTATTAACAGTAATTCAGGGTTCATTTTTTATTCTTTGACCTTACTTCTTCTTAAAAACATCAACAGATTAACACTTGCAAAATAACTTTAGCTTTGATTTTTTTCCCCAAAGGAGTTACACAAACAGCTTAAAAACTTGGTTCTCTCAAGTACCCTACACATAAGCAAATAGTTGTTAAAATCAGGAAGCAATCTGTTACAAATACATAGGAGAGAACAAATAATAATGTCCACAAATCAATTCCACAGTTACTGAACAGTCTGGGCCAAGTGCAAGGTATATGGCGGTAAACAGAGTTGTTGCCCTAACAGAACTTACAGGCTAAGAGGGGCACAGCTCATCCTGATCCATGTAGCTTAGAATTCCCAACATAAAACAAAAAGAGCAAAATGACTGAAATGGCAAGACTTCTAGGTCAAACATAATTAAAGGTAAACGTTATGCACATTAGTGCTGATGAGAAATAACTTTACGTACTACTTAGATTAAGATGAACCAGTGATCACAATGATAAAGTCAGCCGACAGCCAGCGTTCAGGAAGCCTTTTCAGAAAGCACCTACTGCGTAATTGGATGTTTCAACTATTATTCACTTGTATACTCGTGACAATCTACCTGAATGATAGTAATACTTTCTAATAAAAACTATTAGTAATAATTTCCCACAAAATTTAAAATCACAAAGATACAAATTATTAAGTCTAAATTACGTTTTAATTTATGTAAATACCTATTCTCTTGTGCACCGAGCTCTGTCACCCCACTGGACGGTGAGCGACTTTATTATCACCTCTTGGTCTCCCTCATCATCTGGTTCTCAGCAGAGCTTGGCATGTAATAGTGATGACGATGACGACCATGGTGATAATAACGGCGAACACTTTCATGTGCTTCTGAAGTGCCAGACACTGTCCTGGTAGCTTTATCTCAATAAACTTATTCAGTTTTCACAATAACCCTATGAGACTCCCTTCTTACATAGGAGAGAACTTAAAGACAGAGATGTAAACGTCAAGTGGAGTTGCTTGTCTAGAGTCGTGCAGCTAGTTAGCTGTAGAGTCAGGACTGAAAAACTGGGCTCTTTGCTTGCACAGTGTGTGCTCTGAGCAGCTCCCCTGGACGGCAGGCAACTGCTAAATGAGTAAGGGAAGCGGTATTCATGTGTGTGGGTATCAGGCATTCTAGAATATAGACATTAACACATTTACTGAAAACTGAACAAGTTGTATCTTTATTTTTGATGTGTTTCCTAAAGGTTTAGTCCTACATTCAAATGTGACCCCCAACATCAAACTTACTGCACTGCCCCCCCACACCTACTTCTCACCCTGCCACTCAGATGTCATCCTGCTGACATCGCTCCCCTCGTGGCTTAGGTTAAAGGCCGTCAACTCTAGGTCTCGCTTGCTGTGCAATGCAGCATCTAGACTGCCCCTAAACAGATCCTTCCTTTGCAACATCTCTCCCATTTGGTAGTCCCTTCTGCTCAGGTTACCATCACAACTCAAGTTCCTAATTTCAGATTGATTGCCACAGCCACCTTGCCTCACTTCTTTCCATGCCTCCTTCCCAATTCATTTTAATCCAGATGGTTCTCTACTCACATAAAAGCTTTATGCCTATCTTATGTACCAGACATTTAGCAATTGTATTATAATGCTGATTAGTGGTTTATATACATGTGTGCACGTATATGGATGTACACGTACACACACACACACACACTCCCCCAAGAATAATGGAAACTTTTAAAACGGGGATTGCTTTGCCCTGGCCAGATAGGTCAGCTGGTTGGAGTGTCAAGGTTGCAGGTTCCATCCCTGGTCAGGGCACATATAAGAACCAACCCATGAATGCATCAGTAAGTGGAACAACAAATCAATTCCTCTCTCTCCCCTCTCCCTCCCTCTCTCTAAAAATAAAATCAATAAATAAAATGGGGATTGCTTTTAGTTTCCACAGTATCTACCACAATTGCTTTACACATAGAAATTCAATAAATATTTGCTGGCTCATAGCTCACTTTCTGTAGAAAACCTAGCAGTTAGAAAATTTTATTCCTTATTTGTTCAGCAAACATTTACGGAGGAATCTACCACAAACCATATTTTAGATAAAGATTATTTTTATTTATTTAGATTTATTCATATTCCACTTCTTTCTACAAAGGATTTGAAGTGGCTAAAAAAAATGGTCATTTTTCAGTTACGCATTTCCTTCCATCTCATTTCTGAATGAAATTCTGGGCGGTGTTAAAGGGAGAAGAGAAAAATGGTTTCTCCAGCTCTGTCCCCAGAGACCTTCCTAGAGCCTGCCTGTCAGTACTTTGCAGCTGCTTATTTCTCTGCCAGGATATGTAACTGCAGGGGTAAAGGAAAGACCCAGGGGGGATGATCCGACACTATTATCTGTGAGAAATTTTCTCTTCATTAGAGAACATCATTGGGAGCTCCCAATATCGTTAGTGATTTGGGGAAAACATGAAACAAGACTTTCCAGAGGAAAGTTTCACAGTGGTATTACAGTGGAAACACTTGCCAACTAAAGCTACATAATCTCTCCACTGGAATCTTTAAGCACAGAAACATCCCTACCTGTCAGGGATGACTGAAGTGCAGTCTGCCAGAAGGTATAGCGACAGATGACATTTCCAGTTTCTGTACGACATGAAACTTAAAAGTGTACTTTGCATTAATTACAGAATTTCAATGAAACTATACCCAATTTCTCTATAATTTCTGGCATATTATATGTTATAGATTTAAGGTACAATTATCTTCTACCAAGTTTAATGTAAGTATATAAGAATGAGGAATGCCTTATAACATCCTTTTGCCCTCCCTCAGTGCCCTAAATATTTTTAGTTCACTTACATAATTTATATGTATGTAATAAAATATCCCAGTCATGCCTACAAGTATAATTTAGAAATACAGTTGTAAAATACAATTGATTTGCTACCTTCTAAGTAAAATAAAAAACACACAGGTTTAAGCAAAGTAGTTTATACGGTATCTATTAAGAAAACATTAAATGCTTTAGAAAATAAGATATTATAATCGAGATTGATTAAGTCACCAAATTCTTCAATTCAAGATGCAGGTAGGTGAAGGGCGAGCACCTAAGGCAAGGGTGTGGCATCTGTGGTCCACAGATAGGCTTCAGGTGTCAGGTGTGTTCACAAACACCCTGAAACTATAGGCAAGATCTTGTGTGTTTGTTTCCATTTTCTGGGAGGAGAGTTCATAGATTTCCTCAGATTTTCAAGAAGTCTGAGGCCTAAGGCAGGATAAGGATTTTGTCTGGACTTTTCGACTAGAAATTCAGTTTTTTAAAAAGTGTGAGCACGCACATTTGAGTTGTCTTTCTTTCACAAACTACATACACAACATTTTATCTATAA